TTTCTATAAAATAAATATAAAGAAGGGAAGTAATTGACCAATTCCGGCAATGTTATATTCACTTTGCATTTACATTGTAAAGATAATTTGTAAAAACCTTGGCTCTGACATTGTTTACGCTAACGTGATTGAACGGTTTCTTGTATTCGACAACGATATATATTAGTTATGAATAGTATTGATTGAATATTGAGAACGTACTAACAAAGTACTATTGCTAGAGAGCATACGACTGTCTGATATAACAGCGAAGCTCACTTCGAAGCGAATCCTTTGACAATTTTTCATCTTTTTGTTGTCTATATTAACACATAATTTTAAATGAGAACTCTCCTTCAAGTAGTAATTTGGATAATGTCGTTTATGTTAGGTTTTTTTTTGAAAGTAAGTTGCAAGAATAAGCGTTTTTTTAAATATATTATTTCATTAGTAGATTTTCCTTCCGTGAGAAAATTGTCAAGTTCAGTCTGTAACAAGACTTATCGAGGATAACATAAATAAGCTTTAAAGAAATATAAGTCTCATTTAGATAGATACTACTCGTATACAGATATATATATATATATATATATATATATATATATATATATATATATATATAATAAAGGATATGTAGTAAAATATATGCCACGTAATTTACAAATTACATATCTCACCTTTTATTAAAGCGTTCGGTGCATCCTTAATTAAATTTTGGATCGAACTCTATCATTATAACACATTAGGGTTCTAAGAGTTATAACGTTTTCAATTTTAAATAATTTTGCAATATTAAGGTCCATAGGTAACGGTGTGAAACATCTATTATTTTTTTTCAAACCAGTGCGGTCATACAAAAATACTCTCCAAATTAGAATTTTAAACTTTTTATCGTGTGTATGTTCGACATCTACAATCTATATATAATTTACATGAGGTTGTCAACAGACACTAAACACCCAATGCTTCCATCTAAACAAAACCTTATTTAAAGAAATACACAAGCAGTCATGACCGATACGATGCGAACAACTTTTGCACAAACAGGAAGTACCTAATGCGAAAATGTGTAAATAATATTATCAAAGGTTTACCAAATGACCGATTACAAAACACACCTACAGTAAATAATATGACAAAAACTAAAATCGATGGAATTTTAGCTCTTCAGGTACCTATTATTATTAGAGGTACAGATTATTAAAGTCTACGAACTAATGAGGTTCGATATACTAATAAATATTTAAAAAACAAAAGAACCAACGCCGCTACAACTATTGGTCTTAAACTTACGAGTTATGTATATGTTTTGCGATCATATCTTAATATCTTAAAAGGCAAGTAGGTTTCTGTGCCTGACACGCGCCGTGCGGACATACAAGAAAAGGTTCCAACCTTCGCCCTAAGGACGAGGGTGGCACGCTAAAGCCACTAGACCAAGACGGCTTTATATACTAATTAATGTATTTATTTACATAAAAAACGCCTGTTAAAAGCATTTCCTTTTGCCTATTCATACATGTTTATTGTCATATGGGGAGCATATAACTACGTGAGTCACAGTTCGCGCTAAAAGCGTCTACTCAAGGCCCTAAAATCAGAGGCAATATCGGGGAAATGGTGGGGAGCACCCTAGATCGCCTCGTGTGTAGGCACTACCCTAATTGTATTATCAGCCCGTATGCTACTGCCGATTCGAACTACGAGCCGGTTTCATCCCCGCCACCATTGTCCCGATATCGCCACTGATTTTAGAGCCGTGTAGATTTTATTCTCGACTACGAATCTTACTCAGAGAGCCAAATATCAATGACAGAATATACGACAGAAATCAGCAAGAAAAACAGCAGTAAAAATTTGCAGCGCTACTAGAGGATACGTATAAAACATTGTTAAATGGTTTTGCTATGATGAGATGAAGTTTGAACCACATGAAAAAAATATGTAAAGTAATTAGAGCATTGGTCGCAGAGCGGTTTTCCTTGGATCAGGAATCAGGTCATACTTGTTCCAGTTGATAGGACATCATTCCACTCTTTGACTCACAGTTTAATTGTGGGATAATACTTGTGAATAAGAACTTCACAAATTGAGATTGGAATAACTTTTCCTACAACAGCGAGTGGTAAGTAAAATTCACAAGTAATTCCTTTCAACACACACGAAAAATCTGTAAAACCAAAAATTCTTGCTTTAAATTGTTCTGCCTTTTCTATCTCAACCATATCCCACACTTCAGAACTTGAAGTGTTTTAAATCGTAATCATTCAACGGTCTATCATATTTGTCCATACTAGATTATCTGAGATCTACAACTAAAAATATCTGATTAAGTACCAATTAGTTACGGATCAATAACTGTATCTGATATACTCAGCGCACGCAATGTAATGTACTTCGGGAATAGATCCATCAAAACAAATTATTCGACCTTCGAGTCAAATCAAACAGAGCAGAAAAAATCACTTTATTCCATTGTTTTTAAGAGCGATGGCCATTTCACAGAAGATTACAGTTGATAGACATATAGATAATTATCTGAGAGACTAAGGGCTGTATCGCCATACGTTTATTTCTATATTTCACTACTGACTGACAATAATGATGTGCCTGATACTATTGATAGTTATGTACACGGATTATGTGACCGCGATAGTCGTAGAAAATTGTATAATTGTAACGTCGATTTTGGACAGAAGTAATGCCTTTAATTAGTTGATAACAAATGCTATATTTCGTGTTTCTGAGTCTGTGTCCCTACCACGGAATTTACCTGTTGTTTAATTTTTTATAATATTTGAAATTTGAACGGGGTATTGTTTTTTAAACGTACAGTACTGGCAAATAAGTTTTTGCTATTAAAACTATAATCGATACCTAAAGCACTTATACTTGCCGTACACATAAAACAACCTCAAATACAATCAAAATTAAATCGAGTGTCGTCAATAGACTGTTCCCATATCGAAGTTAGATTAAGATTACATTCGAGCCATTTATGATTTTACAACCGATACAAACGGCCTGGGGACACGAATCGTCACGATCGATTTACGATTTTAATTTTATAGTAAATCACACATGATTAAGGCGCCGAATAAAAACTTCTAAGAATTTTTTTACCAACGAAGACTCGAATACTTCCGTCACAGGATATAGGTGATAAATAAAACAATGAAATTGTGATAACTGAAACTAGTTAAGTTAATGCGACTTTTAGGTAAAACACAAACAAATTAAATACGCTTGCAAACTATAATCGTTCTTATAAAGGGCACAATACATTATTTACACCAAAATTTAGTCGAAGACAATTTTCAACGATACCTGCGCTACCTTTCTTCACTTTCTAAAATGAGAACATTAAAGTTGATGAAGTACAAAAGCGGGAAGGGTAAATTAAAAAACTGTTATCCTAATCTTCAGAGCCGGCCGCATTCGCCGGTGTTTTATAAAAGGGACAAAACCAAATAAATGTCTTTTATAGAAATAGGCCGAAAAGAGTAACATTGTGGAACTCTATTTACACACACTGATGAAGAATCGTATTTATAGTACGTGAGTACAAAAAGGTTTTCCACTAAACGAAAAGACTCCTTTATATCTTAGCATGTAAGAATTTGAATTTTATCTAAATAATCGTTTGTAATAAGTTTAATACTTTACGGGTAAAGTTGAAATAGGAATTTATTTTTAGTAACCACTCAATCTGCCATCCACCATAATGCCATCGCACATCTTTGAGCATTGACGTCATCGTAATAAAATCACAGAGGCATCCAAATTATGGCCCAAACCTATTATTTGCAGATGTTGATTGAAAACTCGAGCTTATTCGATCGCACAATACCGTTATCTAAATAGAAGATACGAAAAACTTTCGCGATAATGTATTGTGTGCTTAGAAATATCTGATTGACAAGTTATACTTACTAGATAAAAGGTAATCAAGGAACTTTCCATCTAACATTTAAAAATATTCATAAACAATTTTAAGTATAACAAGAGAAGACCAAATCGTTTTGATAAATCAAGCAATCATAATCGGGGTCCAAAATCTGTCAGACTATAATTGTATAATTCATACCAAAATAATTTTGTCGGAAAGAATTCCGTGCGGCTAATAATTATTTATTTAATTCAAAACCATAGAAAGACCGAGTAGACGGTAAAGAAGCGGATACGAATAACAACATAATAAGGGCTGGTGTAATCTCTCGTAATTACATCGTAATTATAACCAGTAATCAGCACGCTATCTAAAGAGGACAATAGACCTCTGGTTACAGAACCGTGAGATAACATTCACATTAATCTGTGTACAAACTCAAACTGGACATAAATCATAAAATAAATAGAACATCCAAATAAAACGATTCAATAAATTGAATAACAAAAAGGTTTTAATTGATTTCTAGTAACTATGTCTGCTATATTGGATTTCAATTTCCTTTTCTTTGAAGACTAAAACGATTTTCATTTACTGACCTCATTTCTTGATAAAATATGAGGAGAAAGCGGTGAACATATTTTAAATTGCTGGGAACGTAATTAAAGCGGGAGACAATAGACAGGAGGCCGAAATTATGGCGTAGTTTCGTAATATTTGCATAAGTGTAATTGAAGTGAATCGCGTGTGAGTAAAGAGCTTATGAATGACAGGAGTGTTGCGAGAAGGAAAGTGCTGCGTGCGAATAGATGCGCTTGCGCAAGCTAAGCAATAGACCTTTATTTCCGCTTGATAAATTGTTGAGATTACTCTATACGTTACACTTGTGAATGCAAATGTTTACTATATATATTTGGGCTTATGTTTCATTTAAATTGGACTTTTCCGGCACTGTTTTTGCAACGGATAATAAATACTTATATACGCATTAGAATTAACATAAAGCCCAATCGCACAATGTCTTAAAGTGGTAGAACCTCCAAAGAACTTCTCACATGAATAATTTTAAAGTCGGAAAATTTTCAATTTGAGAAAGTAACGAAAACTAAATCTTAAATTATAAGAAACTTACAGACTGAAAACGACGCCAAATGTCTTAGATATGACACCCATGGTCTTCTTCCAACCCTTGACGAACTGGCGTCGGCGCACCCCACGGGGTGTCACCGCGCGTTCCAACTCCTCGTACGAGTTAATCTTGACTGTTTCCAAAGGAACACTGCACAATTCAATCGTCATAATCCTTCAGAGAACACTACCGGACTACCTGCGCCCGTCATTACAAAAAAATTAAACACGTGAGGAGTGGATTCGTGCGCTCTGTACCGTGGTTGAAACGACACTGACCGTACTACGGTCTAATCTACGCCGCTACGGGGGTGGAATCTCTGATTCATTGCCCGATAATTGCTTTGATTTATGCATTCATTGATATAATTTTAATACAATAGGTGGATTTTGTATGGTTAGTTTAAAGTTAGGGTATGAAATATTGTCGTATAGTCGGTATTAATTATAGAGGTTATGCGAGACGTTTTAAGTGTTTTTGACTGAACTATTTAAACCCACATATAGATGATATAAAATCTCAAACACTAGTTACTTAATCCTTCAATATAGTTATTAAAAATAGAATAAACTGCAATTTTACCATATTGCTCGGAAGGAGCCCATGGGCATCGAATAACTTGTGACACGCGAATGCGTTTGACACGCAAGTGTTCTTACGTAGGGCTTATCGCGTGTCTTCATGTCAACGTCCCATGGCCCTAGCAGCATCAATAACCCTTGCTGGATACCAAACTAAAATCTGTGGAACGTATAATTAATAATTTGCGTCTTAATAATAAGTCAACTAGTTTGCTTCTTACAAAGCTTTTAACGCCCTAAGACCCTTTATAAAAATCTATCTACATATTTATATATAAAAAAATAAACGCGACTTTTCTTATTTTTCTTCTTCTGAGACATATCAAAGTAGATTAAATACAAAGTGGCCAGCTAACTCTTCGTTTTGAAAGAAAATACTCAAACTTAAAAGTCTCCTACTAATAGCTACTTTCTTTAACTTGAGCGTCAAGATTCAAGAACGTACACAATAGTGCAGTTGAAGTAAGCATGCATTTAATTTTATTTGAAATGATTGATTAGTTTCGTTTTGTAGATTAATGTATATCAATTTATATAGAGAGAAAGCACTTTCGTATCTCAAACTAAATAAATTATATACCTACACACTTATTTACTTTGTTAAGCATTTATTACCTGATAGGCATATATCATATATTCTACTTTATATATTGTACATTATAGTATATAAGTTTATTTTTAAATAAAATAATCTTATAAATACTTCCAGTGTTGCCAATATATGACTATCATCCCAGAGGTAGTAGGTTCGATCCTAGCTGTCAATGAACTTTCTATGTGCGCATTTAACACTCGTTCGTACGGTGAAGGATAACATCGTAAAGGAAACAATTACAGTAATCTAAGCCTCAGAACTAATATGGTACCAGAATTGTAAGTTTCTTAAGAAAAAATTATCATCACATTTAGTAAATAATAAACAATTTTCCCTATTTCATTATTTCCTATTATCTAGAACAGATTCTTGCGTAGAGTTAAATCAACTTATAAGGCTTTTATGGTGATGGAAATTACGAGTTCAATCTAACAGATAATTCCGTTAGTGGAAACTTAGTGTCGTCTACAATATTTCCATTAACATATTAATAACGTCACTTTTCGTTTAAGGAGCTTACGACACGTCATAGTGTTTAAAGTTTTAGTTTTACAGACGTCCGCAAACACGTTACTATTATAATTAAAATATATTTAACACATTCTACGTGTATCACTTATCGTTTTTCATAGGCAAGTGAGCATTTGGAAATCCGAATAGGTTATACAATATACACAAAATATATCACCAACTAGGCACGAGGCATTCGGCTTGGTATATTAGATTAGATCAGCTAAAACTTTTAAAACCTCTTTATTATCCGAAAGCTAACAAGCGTATTGGTTAAAATTGTAAAAACTATATTTGTCTCGTTGTACTCTGGTTTAGACAACCCATATCTAGGTTTAAAAATAAACCAATTTTTACTAACCTTTACCTTGTCTGCGCCGATCTAAGTTGCATTACTGCAGTGACTATATCATTGTGATATCATTTATGAATCACACTTACTCTAGACTGTATGAATTCATACAACGAAACCTGATCAATGACATAATGCACTTATGAACGTAAAAACTTCTCTAATTTGTATAAAAAAGCGTCAAAAAATCGTCCTGCAGCTCAAAGCAATTAGCGGGAAATGGAACAGGAAATGGAGAGCGTTTCTCGTTTCGGACATATTTTGGGTCACAGATCCAGCGAAAAACTAATACAGTTAAAATAAGGCGATTGATTTTTCATGTGAGTAAATCAATAAATACCTCAAAACAGCTTAATGTTTTAATAAAACCTGCGTGTCAATAATGCGACAAACAACTCAAATTACATTTTCAATTATTATCACGCAGCTTGACAATAATTCATTTATACACAGACAGTCACTCGCGCGAGTACTTCAGTAAATTGCGGAGATACATACAGCACGTATATTAAAAAGTAAAACTCTGATTACAAATGCGTATTAGCAGAAATTGCTTGAATATGAATTTCTTTATCTAACGTAGAGAAAAAGTTGTTTATCCAACGTAGAATCTCCTCGAACTCGTGAGCATTCAACCTGCCTGCATGTTCTCGAAATTTAATCCAAGATCGAAATGGAGCACATTTGTATAAAATGAGTTTTAAAAAAATTCTTCTTTACGTCGTAGTAAGAATAATATAAAAGTTGATACTGTACAGTTTTTTTCTTTCAGTTTACAGGACTTATGGGACAACCTGTAGTATTGTTAAAGTCAGGAGATGACTTTGAAATCATTAAAAGTCAATAGCCAATTGACACAGTGCTTCTAGAATACAAAATACAATACTCGTACCGTTTCATTGTAAACACCCCATGAACTTGACTATTGTTTATAAAAATACTGAATAATTCTATAATCGAGGGCGTGGCTGTAATGTCAATTAAAGTATTACTTCTTTCGTGGAATAAAACAAAGAAGAAAAACACGAACCCGGTGTAGTACTTACGGAGGAGTCACGCAATGATTATACGTTTTACGCATTTGCAAATAAAAATATAATCAACGCATCCGTTGATTTCAAGGTTGACAAAGATTTATAAGCGTATACATTATTACACATCAAGGACAACAAATCGTCTAGGGGAGGAATTAAATGAATTAGGTAAGTACATATGAGTCGAAAAGTATGTCTAAATAAATAAGAAATAAATTTAGACAAATTAATAATTAAATAAAAGGTTTTTATTTGATTCTCATCAGTCACTACGCGACCTTGTTACACACATATATATGCTACCAAAGTCTTCTTTCTTAGATATTAAATTGAATAGTACAGGTCAGATAACTTATTTTCAATCTCCGGGAAACGCACCTAAAACACAACAATATACGCAACAGATCTACGAATAAGATTTTGACATAGGCGGCTTATTAAATGGCAGAATCTTGTTTAAATAATTTACTACTCTCTTGATTTATACAAAAATTAAACAGTCCCTCATTGTTAGTCAAATAGCGTAGAACAATGCGTGTGCACACGTGCGATCCCATCTTATGGGATCTGAGACCCTCATGACCTAAATCTACCAATGTTATGTTACCCGATGTGAAATCGGGAGTGTATAAATACATACGAATTGGTGCTATTTTCAAACAGATTGCATCTACTGACACAGATATGCATTGGGACACGGAAAGTCTTTCAGGCTTTCATATTATAATCTAAATTTGTTTTAGTGGGGCTTAGAAGATGGAAAAGGAAAAACCATTCGAATTAGTGAACTAGTGTGAATGCACGTTAGTGCTAAACAGTAGCAAGTGGAAAAAAAAGAGACTGTAAGTAGTGTTATTGGAGACTCTCCTATGTTAAAAATACTTTAGTAAATTAGATTAGTTTTAAATTAATACTCTCAAGTCAGGCTAGATCTTAATGTTAAATTATGTTTTTGTTCAGAGACAATTTATAAAAAAAAATGTTAGGCTAATAGATAATAACAAAGGCAATATAAATATATAATATAAAAAAATTCTAACGAGATGGTGCGACTAAAAAAAAGTTTCTCCTCTAGTTTTACCACATTTTTACTATATGTATAAAGAATACTGTCCTATCCAAAGTCAATCCATACGTTCAATTTTAATTCGCCTATTACTAACATCATGAACTTATAAAGTTTTAATTAAAACATATGTTTAAATTTTGTAAATCGAAGTAAAATTGTACTGTTTTAAACACCGACCTGTCTCTTAACACAATTTGACGAAAAGAGTAAGAAATTTTTTTGTCAAAGAGGGCTATAAGCCTCATAAGCTTATATAGTGGTTAAAAATGCTGTTTAGAAATAAATAGCTTCTCATATACATCAGCAATACGCAATATGGAAAACGGAGAACGCATCCTCATTAGTAACACTTTCAATTGAAGAATTAAATCGTTACAATTTAAACAGGATGCAATTAATAAGCTCAAGCACCTACAATAACCTATGTGGGCTTAAACGAGGTCTATGATATTTGTATAAATTCAATTAATAAAGGGTAAATTAAGGATAATATTATCTAGGTATTGTAAAGTGTATAAAGATCTCTGTTCTGAAGAAGAGCTGTAATCGCTCAATGCAGCTGAATTTTTTGTATCTATTTTGATGATATTTTTCTACACCATAACTTATTAATTGCGCACATGGAAACAACAATGAATTGTTGCACAGGTTCCAATGCACGCCCCAAAGTTAAAAAAAAAACGCATGCTTAGCACTAGAAAGGTTCTTAGATGCTAAAAATCGTGTTGGCAGCTTTCAGTTATTAACGTTACAACACCAGTGTTACAGTTTTCTAAAACTACCTATGTATTAAGGCTTCCTATGTCATAAGTACCGTAAAATTCCATTAAGGAACACAAATTGTCCTTATTTAAACAGCTCAAATATTTATCGCAATATTAGTTCAACTCTTACTTTCACTAC